GGCTGAATAGTAACCACTTCAGGGGCTGCTCCCTTTGACTGGTGTCAGGTTCCCCACTGCCCTGGGCTTCCTGGGGATCACTTCCAAAAAAACTACCATGAAGCAGACAGATAACAGCACCCCTCAAAGTTGTTAACATCTTAATCCTTGGGACCTGTAAACATGTGGCACTACATGACAAGGGGGAGTTAAGACAAAAGAGGGAATTAGGTTTGCTGATCAGCTGAACTTCAGTCAAGGAAATTAACCTGGATTATGCAACATGAGCCCAGTTATTCACAAGAGCAAAGTAAGATGAGGTAAGAGTCAGATTTCAATATGCACTGCCAACTTTGACGTTGAGAGAGAGTCCAAGACTTTGAGCACAAGCCAGGACTCCTGGGGTCTTTTAGAAGGTGGATAAAGCAGGGAAACAAACTTGCACCACCAAAAGGAATACAAACCCTGCCAACACCTTGATTTTACCCAAGAGACCCATTTCAGACTCTTGATCTCCAGAACTCTAAGACAAAGTTTGCCTTCACTTAGGCCCCTAATCTGGTGGTCCCTTAGTTACACAAGCAGTAGGAATACAGTGCTTGTCCGAAATTCTTATTTCAGGTTCTCCATTCAAAAGGAATCTATTATTAACTCACCGAGGCTTTTCTTCAAATAATATGCCTCATAAATATTCTTTCCTTGGCAGCACTGATCAAGGAAAGAAAGGCAATAAAAATAGTAACATATCATGCCATCCCAGCCTACAGATGAGGGTGTTATTCAGCCTGTTCAATAAACTTCAAATACGTAAGCGTATTTCTATGAAAGGAATTAAATACACCATTAAAAACCTTCCCCCAAAAGAATTTTCTGGGCCCAGTTAGCCTCCTTATAGGATTCTACTACCAGTTCAGCCAGAAATGCATCACTCACGTACAAATTATTCCAAAGAATAGAAAAAGACAGGTTTCTCTAAAGGGCCCCCTCTCCCCTGGCAACTAAGTGGATTGTCTCAGACTTCTGGTCTCCTTCTCAACTTCTCTCCCAAAGAGGCCAAGACGCCATGAGAGGCCTTGTACTTCAGAAAGGACCAGGAGCTGTATTCAGCAGAGCATCCAGAAGAGGTGGTATGATTCCTATCAGGCTCTTACAAAGAGCCCTGAGTCTCTGCTGTCCTCTCCTACAGTAGCCACGGTCCAGGCTCTCTAACAACCTCACCCAGGACAACTGAAAGGGGAATCCCGGGAAAGCAAGCTCAGCTGCTGTTTGCACATCACAGAAGGTAGCCCCTTCTCACCCTTTGCCCCACTGGCCTGGCAGCCCAGGATACTAACACCCAGGTGATGGGACGGACTCAGAACCCTGCTCCTCGGAACCCTGAGCCCTTCCTACCTGGAGAAGGTGCTGGTCTGTTCCCAGACTTTCTGTGACGTGTTTCAGTTAGTACCAAAGGCATCAAGGAAAGTCAGAGTCTCCACTCTGCACTTCCTGTATTCAGAACTTCCCCTCCCCGGGTGAGCTCCCAAGATGCACTGACCATTCTGAGAAACTGCCATTCACCTCGAGGGAATGGCCTCTGCTCTTCACGAGGTGGTCTGTGACTGGGGGACTGTGTGATCTCCTCCACCGTCCAGGAGTCACAGGAACACTGGGGTCACACACAGCCCAGCTAAAACTGACAAGGCCGCTGTTCCTCATCTAACCCAGAAGGGTTTGGTTCCAGGTGCAGCCACTCCCCGAGTCAAGAGGGAGTTAGGGGCAGAAGGCGGGTTGGGTGCAGGGTGACAGTGCAAGCATGAGAAGTAGACTTCGCAGTTCAGCCTCCGGAACGAGGCTGCCGAGTAGTTTGCCAGGTCCAGGCTATGCAGTGACCCTGCATGTCTGTAGCAACCTGATGAAAATGTTAAAGTGAAACTTGGTATAAAGTGCCTCTCACTGCAGAGCTGCTCACTGGGAGCTGGGTAGCGACTATGTCAGGATTCCATCAGATATTCCATCAGCTATGTGGCTCCAAGGATTCACATGCCCCTTACGAGATTCTAGCATGTAGTGCTATGGGTTAGTGAACAAGGGCAGATTTAAGATTCACAGAACTGACACACTTCTACGTAGCCTGCTATGGGAGCCATAATATCTCAACTCCACTGAAAGGAGACGCTTGCTCATTTTAAGAGAATGCTGACCATTAGGGCCTCCAAAGAACTGTCTGGAAGTGATTAACGTCCAAGCCAAAAAAGTGCTTACAGGAGAACATTCTTAGGTGATGATGGGGCAGATTTATGCCTCTCACCTTGAATTGCTGCCTGCTCTTTCACCAGATGAAGCAGGACTCAGGAAACTTCCTTGACAGCGTCTGGTCACCCTGCAATTCTTCCCTGCATAGTGGCTCATGCTCTGGGGCTGGGTTCTCCCAGGGCATCACAAGAGGATGAATGTTGGGAGTTCAGCTATGGAATCATGATAGGCTTACTCCATAGGTACTGAGACCATCCCTCTTTCTCCTGAAAGGAGAAACTAGGAGGTTTGACATTCTTCTGGATGAATGAGTGGCAGAGGCTAGGCATATTCCACGCCACAATTTCTGTGCCTACTTGTTTTGGGCACAGCCTCAAGGATACCAACATGCATGTTGCCTGCATCTCAGTTGTTTAACGCTGATCTCTGAGGCAGCATTGCCAGATGGGGAAAACAAAATATTGATTAAAAAAACTTGAAAAGACTGGAAAGAGATGTTCATAGGAGACCTAAAAAAGCTCCAAGCATATTTCTGGGACTTTAGAGGGCCACACACAGGTGCGTGGCTAAGCACACACCATAAAAAAGACCTGAGAAAGCCTAACTTCTTATTTCTTGCTGACCTTGAGTCTCTCACAGTGGAGAATAAAGGCTAAGGAAGAGTTAAAACTGCCAGATAATTAAAGGTGTGCCCCAGCACACACAGGCACCTCATCCACAACTGGAAGTCTTACTGGTCCAAAACATTTAAGGAAACAGCCATCTCATTAGGTCATTAAGATAACTGAGCAGAGACTTCAGTGGCTGAACGTGAAGAATTAAGACCTGGCAGAATTCCCCGAAGGTCACTAAGCAAACAGCGATAACAAACCCTGGATTAAAGCAACCTAATCCCTAGAGCTGCCTATGATTCCCAAAGCTGCCCATTGTAAGTGTCCAATTTAACTACAAGTTGAGGCGTACCATAAAAATAAAGCCCCCACACAGGGAGGAATTCAGTCAGTAGACACTGTCCCTGAGGAAATCTAGATGTTGTACTTACTACTAAAAAAAATTACTCAAATCAGTTACTATCTTAAATACATTCAAAAAGTAAAGGAAAGCATGTGTAAAATATGAGAACAATGTCTCATCAAGTAGAAAACATCAATAGAATTTTTAAAGAATGATATGGAAATATAAGTTGCAAGATACAAAAACAAATTCACTTGAAAAGCTCAGTTGCTGATTCACTCTTCCACCAGCTCATATCTAATAACGTGGAAGTAATTTAATTGAGGTTACAGTGAGAACAGCAAGAAAGTAACAGAGCCTCAGACACCTGTAGATGCTGGCATCAAGCAGACCAGCATGTCCATATGGTGGTACCAGAAGAGGATAGAGAAAAGGGCAGAAAGGATATTTGAAGAAATGGCTGTAACCTCCCAGATTGGTTACAAACATCTGACATATCCAGGAAGCTCAGTGAACTCCATCCAAAGTAGGATAAACTCACAACTAGACACATAGTCCAACTGTTGAAAGAACCTGAAGGAAAAGAAAAGCCATTCATCACATACAAGAGAGCCTCAATAAGATTAACAGCTGATTTCTCATCAGATGCCATGGAGACCAGAAGGCATTAGGACCACAAATTGAAAATGTTGAAGGAAAAAGACTTTCAACCATGAATTCTTTACCCAATGAAATTAGCCTTAAAAAAAATGAATAACATACTTCTGCTAGGCAGTTAGATAGAAATAAGCACTGGGAAGGAGGAGAGGAAGGGGAAAGGAACAACCCAGAAAGTAACAGTATGTCTGCATTCAGGATAAGGGATTCCAGAAATTTTTACTTTCTCTAGATGAGGGCCAGCAAAAGAAGGCAGTTAAAACCAAAACGCTGCAGCTGCGTATAAGAGAAGGACCCAGCGTAACTTGACCCAGTGCTCATTATAACGTAATTAACATTACAGTTTGAGCCCCCTCCCATAGGTTTCTCTGTTTCATGGGTAAAAACCTGCCCAAAAGGGGATGGGCGTGCCAGAGCACAAGAAACCTCAGCTGTCAATCAACTTGATCACTCAAAGAACCTGAGTCATCAATCAATCAATCAATCACAAAAGTACCCCTAAGCCAAGATATAAGATGGAAAAACAAAAGAGTGGCACCATTTTTTCCTCTTGGACTGGCCCGCTCCCAATTCTTGGGAGTGTACTATGTCACTCTTTCTGTCTCTCCTTAAAAATTCTTTCTTTTTAGGGGACTAAAAACTGAGGTAATTCTTATTTCCCTTTTCCTGGTAACACTCGCAGATCAAGAAAACCTGAGGTGACAGTCCCATTTTATCCCACTTTCCCATCCTTGACTAGACAAGTTTTGGTACAAAACAGGGCAATTCAAAAGCCCACATTCTACTCACAATGGCCTCTTTTCAGACAGAGAATGAGATAACTTGGCCCTTGATTTGATGGTCCCCTCAATCAATCTCTAGCTTATTCCTTCACAGAAAGATATGCCAGAGAAGCTGAGAGGAATAAACACGAACTCAAGCAGGCTGGAATGGCTCTGCCGACCATTCCTGCAGGAAAGGAGGCATAGTTATCCTCTCAGGGGAGGAGCAAGTTGTGGTGGATGAGGTAGGTGGGAACAGTGTTTCGTTTCAACACCCCTTCCTTATGCTCCCTTTGGGAAGAGGGAGCCACGTAAGCAGCACACGGGCACTTGCTTCAAGTTGTCAGGCATCTGAGTCAATACACAAGAGACTGGATTTCAGTTCACTCTGAGTACCTGGTCCTGATACAATTGAAGTGGAAAAGACAGAATGCTTTCCTGTCCGGACAAACTGTAAAAACTGAGCACCACAGTGAGCAACACTGAGGGTCATTTCTAGAAAAGACTTGTAACTAACAAGTTCTTTTGGATGTGGCTCCTCTCTTGTGGTATAAGGTCATCAAGTTCCTCCTTACTCGACGTCTGACTGCTTCATGTAATCGGGCTGCTCACACTCACAGAGCTGGCAGAAGAGAACAGGGCAAACCCAACAGAGCACCTCCCTGTTTGGAAATCCTCAGTGGAATTTGGCCATTAAACGTATTTGGGTCTCAGAGGAGCCCACACAAACAGAACTGCTCCCACCAACCCACAGACCTATGAGGACAAGAATACACAGTTCCTATGGTAGACCTCTGAGGTTTGGGCCTTGGTTGCTAACTGACAAGATTCTCACAGAGAGCTTCTGAGTCATTCAGCACTGCTGCACTGACTTGTGGTTCATCCTCAAGTGCTGCTTTAAAGTCAGGCGGGCACCCAATACAGCCAACTGCCGGACAAGACAGCCTGGCACATGAGCCCTCTAGACTTCACTGCCAAACGCCTCACATACTCTAGAAACCGGGTGGGAGCCTACAGCATTCTCTCACCCATGCCTCGGGGATGAAATTGGCAGCTAAACAGACTCCTTTCATACAGAAATAAGATTCTTCTGATAAATAACACCATTTTAGTTCTTCATTTTGTACGTCAACTGAAAGTACTGATTCTGGGAATAAATGAGGATTATTTGCCATATAATGCTGAATATCAAGTTTTGCTTTTCACATAAACATGGTTTTGTTGTTTTTAGTTACTTAGAGGACTGGTGGGATTTCCCAAGCAGATATCTAGGCTGGTAAGGTTTGCCCTCAAAGTAGGAGCCTTTCACTTGAAAATACTAGTCTGAGGATCTACTATTGGATAAGTGACCATTTCCATTAGGCATTTTAGCTTGCTTTCTTTTATGAGAGAAAAAACGCAGTGGACTTGCTGAAAAATGCGTCATTTTGTAGAAACAAAGGATTACACTTGAATACAGTGAGTAATCTAACTCGACCCTCCTCAGGGACTCTACAGCCAGGATGAAGTCATCAACACGGTCCTAGAATACAAAGGCAGATGAGACAAACAGCTCTCCCCAGTCCCCCAGCACAGACAAACTACGGAGGTGGGAGGTTGATAAATACCTTTGGACACACCCTCAACTTTTGAGGTTCCACTGGAAGACTATGACCACACTCCCCATCCCATGGCAGACAGGAGGAGGAGATAAAATTCTCAGCATGAGGTAATAAAATTCCCATAATAAATAGTGCAGTGCAGCCAATTTTGTGCTAACATGACACAACTTAACACTTGGTTGTGAACTTGGTTTTTACCTTTGGGCAAGACTAGAGAGTGAAAGACATTCCAGAATAGAAGACCACCTTGGGGCACAGTAACCAGACCACCCTCCAAGTGTCAGCCAAATGACTGAGAAAGGCAGGGTTGACCATATCTGACTTCAAGAGAAAACCCTCCTTCTGGTAAATGTATCTTTCTTGTCCCCAAAAGATTCCTGTACATATGATGGGTCACCCTGTGGTCTCCACCCTGTGGTCAAAATTTTGAAGGGCTCCACCCTGTGGTCAAAATTTTCCATCCTTTCCTTCAAAATATTTGGTATAATTAACATACAATATTATATTTCAGAAGTACAGCTTGATGATTCAATATTCACATATTGTGTAATGATCACAGTAAGTCTAGTTAACACCTGTCACTATTTGTAGTTACATAATTTCTTGTGATGAGAACTTTAAGGTTTACTCTTTGCAACTTTCAAATATGCAACACAGTGTGAAGTGTAGTTGTCACGCTGGACATTACAGCCTTGCATCTCATAGTCTGTAACTGCAAGTTTGTATCATCAGCCGTTTCGCTTACACCATGTCGCCTGCCTCTTGCAGAACACCCATACGTCCTCTATGAGTTTTTTTCTTTAAGATTTCACATTTAAGTGCAATCATATGGTATATGAGTAGCCCAAATTGTAGTTCCTAAGTCTCCAAATAAAACTTTGTTCTTTGCAGCCTTGAATCTAAGCCTTGTTAGACGACATTATGTATGTCAGAAACGGAAGCCAAAGGGACTCACTTCTACCTCCAGCCCTGCCCCAGACAGGAGCAGGTCCCATGTCAGAGTCCCTTGCACTCCATCATTTTCATGGTGATTTGGGTCATGAGGGTAAGTCCTCTCGGTTCTGAACGTCTGATTTTGGCCAAGGTTCTAAAGCCTTTATTTGGATTTTCCCTGTCATGGGCTTTATCTGGAAAGGGAATCCTTTACCTTGGTGAGCACTCCCTCATGGGGAGTTTGGTTTCTAAGGGCACTGCCGAGGGGCAGTGGCTGTGCAGGACTCTCATTCATCTTAGGTTCAAAACCTATGGGCCCTCCTCTTGTAAATTTGTTGCATTGGACTAAAAGCACCCATA